CGGGGCCGCTCGGCTGGCGCCCGCGCGGGAGCTGCCGCCTCGGCGGCGCCCAGGAGCCTGGGGGTGCCGGGTTTCCTTGCGCAGCTGCGAGGAGCGTGAGGAGCGCGAGCCGCCCGGCTGCAGGGCGAGGTGCCGGGCACCGAGGGCCCCGGGCCGCTCTGTCAGCGCGGCTCYGCCGCGCACGGCCCCGCGAGGCGGCTGCAGCCGCCCGGGGCTGCTCCAAGGCCACCTGGAGGCAATTGGGGCCGTGGGGCGGGGGGCAGAGGAGCTCCAAGTGGCCCCAGCTGTGGGCAGCTCCGCACCACAGCTCTCTGCAACAGGCTGCAGGTGTGAGCGCTTACGTTGGCACCTGCTCTAGCTCCAGAACCTTCCCTGGGAAGGCAGCGGAGCTGGTGAGGAGGCTGTGGGAGAAGCCGGCCTGTCCCCCCGGCCAAGGGCTTCGTGCACCGAGCCGTGCCGTGCGCRGGGAGCACGCGCCTGGTCTCTGGTTTTCCCCCTGCAAACCCAAAACCCCCGTGCGCGTGGGCAGAGCGCGGCCGTGCCCCGCACACGGGGTCCCCCCAGCTGCGCCGCGGCTCCCTGCTGCAGCTGCCACAGCCCCCGCAGCCCGGTGGGTGTCCCGCCAGCGGGTGGTGGGTTCCCCTCGGTGTGTGCTCAGAGCTGCGCCCACTGCCTTGGTGCCCGGCTCTGCCCCGCGCTCGGCGCCCCCGGAGAAGCGCCCTGGCTGCTGGCCCCAGCACTTGACTTGGCTGCTGTCCGCCCGCAGGGCCCCGTTGTCACGCTGGGCCCTTCCCTTCCCTTCCCTTCCCTTCCCGCCAGGCGCGAGGGCAGCGTGCGCTCCTGATCGGCCATGGCGGGAGCCATGGTCCGCATCGGTGACCAGCTCATCCTGGAGGAGGATTATGACGAGACGTACATTCCCAGCGAGCAAGGTAGGCGGCGAGGGCACCCTGCGGGCCCGGCGGCCGCCCACTCTCCAGGCCCCGGAGCCAACACGAGCTCCTTGGAGTGGGCGCCGGCAGCGCACACAGACCCCGATGTCCCATTCTGGGGAGCTGCCAGCACCCAGGTTGCTGCTCGTGGGGGCATCCGCCACTGTGCGGAGCCTGTGTCCCCGTCGTGCCAGCGCTGTGGGGTGTCTTTGCGGGCACAGGGCCCCCCAACACCTCAGAGCAGCTGCCCGCCACGCTCRGCATTCTCGGCAGGCTCGCCTGTAGCCAAGGAGCTCGGTGTCACCTTGCAGAGCTTGCTGCGTGCAGTCCCTGCGCGCTCCAGCATCCCTGCTCTTGTGCTTGCCCAGAAATCCAGGACTTTGCGAGGGAGATCGGGATCGACCCTGCGCAGGAGCCGGAGCTCATGTGGCTGGCCAGGGAGGGCATCGTGGCGCCGCTGCCGCCCGAGTGGAAGCCCTGGTGAGAGCCGCGGAGCGGGAGCGCTCAGCCTCGCCCTCGTCCTGCTGTGCCCCCGCGGAGCGGGGACGCTGTCACAGTGKGTGGCACCTCCTGCAGGGCTGGGGGACGGGGACAGAGGCGTTGGGAAGGGGCCCAAGGGCTGGAGCGGGGCCTGGGGCCGCTGCTGCATGCGCGGGGGTCTCCGGGCTCTGGGGCTGGCATGGGGGGCTCCGCTGCGGGGAGGGCTCTGCTGCAGGAGCCTCGGGAGCCCCGCGCGGGAGCTGCACACGCGGGGCGCAGCGCTGACGTGCGGCRCTGCCCCTGCCGCGCAGCCAGGACATCACCGGCGACATCTACTACTTCAACTTTGCCAACGGGCAGTCCACGTGGGAGCACCCGTGCGATGACCRCTACCGAGAGCTGGTCATCCGGGAGCGGGAGAAGCTCCTGGCGCAAGGCAGGCTGAAAAAGAAGGAGAAGAAGAAGAAGGAGAAGAAGGACAGAAAGGAGAAGAGAGAGAAGCAGGCGCTGAGGCAGGCTGCGGTGAGTGGTGCTGTGGCGGCTCGGGCAGGGAGCGAGGGGCCGGGCCCAGGGTGCACGGAGGGCTGCTCCCTCCGGCAAGGGATCCTGCTCAGGAGGGGGGTGAATCTCCTGAAAATCCAGGGAAGGTGCATCCGGAGGTACATGGTGCTCTGACACACAACCCTGGGTGCTCGAGGTTGGCCTGCTTTCCTGTCGGTAGCCTCGAGAGCCGCCAAATTCCCCGTGGATCCCCAAAGAYAGCAACCTGCCTCTGCCTGCCTTCAGGCAGGAGTGAGCTAAGTGTCAGCGGGCAAAGCTGGTGTCGTCTATTGCCACTCAAGGCAGGGGCATCTGCAAACCAGCAAGCCCCAGAGCTTCCCCCTGAGCGTTGTCACCTACACACGGAGAGCCCAAAGTGCTCCCGAGTGTGCTGAGTGGCTGTGCCTTAGATAAGGAGATACATAGATAGATATAGATAGGTATATGTGCTTTAGTCACCTGCTCACATTTATGTGCTTAGGAGGTGCTGCAGCCCGAGGCAGGGATCTTCCCTCCGCCACCCCTATGCCCAGCGCCCTCAGCCAGCCTGCCGTGCGGGCGGGAGAGCCCGGAGCTGGGAGCAGAGAGCCGGAGCAGCAGCGAGGCCCTCGTGCACGTGGGCCGGGCGAAGGCTGCACAGAGGGCAGCGGGCGCCGGCGCGCGCAGCGGAGCGCCTGCAGCCCCGTGGCCTCCTCAGCYGCAGCCCCTGCTCGCGTCCAAGCTCAGCAGACCTTGCCAGGTCTTAACCGATCTGGAGAAAATGCTAGAAAGAGGCTCGTCTTTTGGCCGCCTTGATGTGGACGTCCCTGAAGAGCGAGATGCAGGCGTGGAAGGGCGAGCAAGGCTTTGTCTTGACTCCTCCGACTCGGAGTCAGAGGATTTAGCAGTCGGGCCAATAGTGCAGCCTTTCCGTGGGCCTACGAAAGGCTCTTCACAAGRTGGGGGAGGTGTCAACACTCTTCTGAAGGCCCCTGAAGACAAAATCCAACTCTTTGGGGAAGAAAAGCTGGAAGACAAGTGGAAGATGAGAGAAATCCTGGGAGAGAGTGGGTCTAGCCCTGATGAAGACCTCTCAGTCAGAGAGAGCTCTCCAGGAGGTGGCGGCGATGAGGGAGGAAGCCGCAGCCTCTCGAGAGACCTTGAGCAAGGCGCCAGCCCCGACGTGAATTTTGTGCTGGCCCTTTGTGGGAAGTACCCTGCGCAGGAGTCGCAGGGAGACGCGAGGACGGCCCAAGCTCCCCCAGCGTGGGCAGAGGAGTGCGCGGAGGACTCCCGGGTTCCCCCCGTGGCTCAGCTCTTTGGCTGSCAGGGCAGCGACAGCCCCTGTCAGCGCGTGCAAGTGCAGCTGCCCTCAAACAGAAAAGCTGCAGAGAGTTACAGCCAAGCGCAGGTTAGTGAAGGGTTGAGGTATAGGACTTCCYTAAGAAGGCAGCATTTTGTGGTGACACTTCTATTGCAAGGGTTTCTGTAGAGCTGAGGGTGTAAATATTTTTCTTGGATATTTTTCAGGCCAGGCCCAACTTGTCTGGGCCAGCCTAGTCCTCGGAATGAGGCTCCTATGCTCTAAGGACACTGAGTAGTTGGTTTACGGGTGCAAAGGGCCCATGTAGACGAGTAATTCTCTCTGCCTCCTTGCTCTGGGAGCACGGCCGGCAGCTGCTAGAAGAGATGGCGCTCTGTCGCCGTGCCGCGCAGCCGGCGGGAGCAGAAGGTGGCAGGTACGAGGCCCGGCTCTCTGCTGTGGGAGGCTGGGCAAGTTCTGCAGCCCTCGCAGCTCGCAAGCAGCAGCTTCCCGAGAGGCCTCAGTGCTCTCTGCAGTTCCTTCGCTGCCCGGGTGCCTGCCCTGCCTGGAGTTGCTTTGTYGCTGAGAACAGCCAGGCAAGTCAGCACCGTGTGCCCGGGAAGCCCCGGCCCCTTTGAGCGGCTCCTTGAGGCCACGGGGTRCGGGGAGCTGGCCCTGCTCTGCACGTGCAGTGATGTCTTCCAGCCTCTGCCTGTGGCAGGACCGCCCTGTCCCTGGCAAGGACCTTCCACGTTCTCCGTCTTCGTTCCTGAGTAGTTGCCGCAGTKTAATAAGAACTTGCCACATCACCTGTTGCGAAGCAAAAGCAGCGGAAAGGTCGCTGTGCGTAGGGTGAATGAGCTGCCTCGTGGCTCTGTTGCTGGCACCCGGCTGCGAGCGCTCCGACTCGCTAGCTCAGGTTTCTAATGAGCAGCGTGGGCAGCGCTCAGCTAGCTGGTAATAGCAGTGCCTATAAATACCCGATAAACCRCAGATTACCCTGCGAGTTGTAAGGAGCTGGCGGCGGCGAGGTTGTCTCTGCTGAAGGACAGCGCACGTCCCCTGCTCCGTGCGCCTTGTCAAGGGCCGCCCGTAGAAGAGCCTTGATTAAGGGCAGCCCGTGTAGTTCAGCCTGTAAGCGCTGCTTTGGCAGTGACCTGGTGGAAGATGTGCGTGTTCCTCTCCTGCTGCCCCTTGGGGAGCTATAGGGAGTTAGCGCTGCTCTCAGGCCGGGTCTTTGCGGGAGCGTGGAGCCCGGGCCCAGCAGGGTCCCGCACGTGCCGGGGCGCTGCGGGGCAGAGCGCTGTGGCATGCACGTGTGCCGCTGCCTGGCGGCCACCGTGCCCCACGGGGCAGGCCCGCGTGGATGGGCAGCCCCAGTGAGGAGAGGCGGGCACCGCTGTGCGCGGCGGAGAGACCCGGAGAGCTGGGGCCGAGCGGCGCTGCTCCGCGGCTCGTGCGAAGGCAGCGGCGCGYGGGCCCCGCTGCCCTGCCGCTGGAGGCGAGCGGCTCCCAGCGCGGGCGCCTGGCTCACCTGGGGAGCGGGGAGGCTGCGGGGGGCCCGGGGCTGCCCGCCTGCCCGCTGCGCCTCGTGCAAGGGAGGCGCACGGCTGCCAGCGRAGCAACCGACCCCTCTCGCTCGCTCCAGCCCGCAGGGCCCTCGGTGGCGCCCCTGGCACCGCTGCGCGGCCTCCTGGACGCCCCGGGCGCCGTCCTGCGAGGCTCCCTGAACCCAGGCAGCGGTGTGGACTCCAGCCTGCCGCAGGTAAGCTGGGCTTTCGCTGGGCGAAGGGTGGCTTGCATGCACGCTCGCGCTGTCGTCCTGCTTCTCCTCGCTTGGTGTTTCCAGGTAGCCCGGTGCTGTGTTTGCRCTGAGCTTTCTTCTGTCCTATTTAGTGGCTTTCAGGGGAGAATTGTTTCAGTCACTGATAAAAGYGTACTTGAGCTCGCTTTGCTTGAACTTCAGCTTCTGCCCAAGCGCGGCGTGACATACGGTGCTGCTAGTGTCCTCGGAATGAATGAAAGGTGTTCTGTGGCAATGGTCGTGTGTGGCGGTCGTGCACCTCGGTGCCTTCCTGSCTCCCCTTTCGCTCCCTCTGCTCTCTCTGACTTTGCAGCCCGCAGAGACCCGTGAGCCCAGCCGCCAGAGCAAGAAGCTGCTGGGAACGGCTTGTGCCGAGCAGGTTTCCTTGAACACGGTGGCTCAGGAGAAACGGAGAAGTGAAGAGGAGGAGAGCGAGAAGGAGGTAGGCTGTGTGCCTTGGCACGTGCTGAGCTTTGGTAAGCGCACTGCAGAACACTCGTGTGTCTGTGTGTGTGTGTGTGTGTGTGAGATACCTCTGTCCTGAGAGCCAGGTGACTCTGCCTGCACTGGCTGAGCTCTGGGGCTTGGCACCTTCCGGGGCACTGCACTGCTTGTGTGTGTGGCTCAGTCTCCAAGGGTATCTAGTCCTGTCTTCTGCCCTTACTCCCTGTAAGTCAGCCCCTGATGCAATGTGTTTCCAAAGGGAGTTGACTTGTTGACTCTTTCCTTCCGGTGCGTTGGACCTCCAAGTTCCTCCTGTATGGCCAGAAAGGGGGTTGCAGGGAGCACAGGTCGCCTGAGTCTCTTTCCTTTTTGGTTGTATTTAGAGCCTCCAGAGAAGGGCGAGGCTGTTCCAGAACGTGCACGTGGATGTGAGCGCCCTGGGAGGCAGCTTTGAGTCGGAGGTAAGAGAGAAGGTGCCGCGAGAGCGGCGCGCGAGGCGGTGCCCGGGTGGCGGAGCAGCTGAGGGCGGCAGAGCCGCCGTGGGCGCTGCGGGAGAAGCCGCCGACGGGCTGGGAGGAGGCAGAGCGGCTCGGCCGTCACCGGGCAGGCTGGGCCGGGGCTGCTCCCGTCCCAGGGCCCGTGCGCRCCCCGCGCTTCACTTGTGCGGGTGTCCTGGGCCGGCTGGAGAGCGGCTCCCGCAGCGAGGCCGTTCGCGGAGAGCAGGAGAGGTTATTCTGCCGCCGGGTCCTTTCCCGTGGCGCTGCAGGCAGGCGCTGCCGCTCGGACACGGAGCGGCAGCACTGAGCCCTGTGCTGGCACTTGCTCTGCCTGCGGGCGGGCGCTCTTTGCCTGCGCTCCGAGCTCTGATCAGGCTTGAGATGACAGGGGCACAATGGGAAGGGCGCTGCCAGCGGCTCCAGCGCTTCAGCCTGGCAGTTGCACTGACATTAATCCCTTCTTGTCGTTCTGAAAACTCTGTTCCAGTATCTGAAAGGCAAATTAATTTCCTTTAGAACGTTGCACGGGATTTCCATTTCAGAGTGGAGAGAAATTAAGCTGTCAAGGCCTTTGCTGGCGAAGGCGTTCACGGTGCTGGGTGTAAACTGTGTGGAAGTGGATGGGAGGGAGGAAGAGCCGGCCCTGTGCTCATCCCCAGAGCAGGAAGCCTGCTGCGCCGCATCGCCGTCCCGGCGCTGTGTGTCCGGGATGGGCGAGCTCGCCCGGCGCAGGGGGCCACGGCCGCGCTCCGGGAGCCTATTGTGGGATGCAGGTGCCAGCGCCCGCTGGGCTCTGTGCGCGGAGCGGCGCCGCCGAGGGGTGCCGGCCGCGTGGCGGGGAGCCGCCCGCGTTGTGCCCTGGCACCGCGGGCGAGCGTCGCTGCCGAGCGGCTCCGGGAGGTGGCAGCAGGAAGCGGCTCCGCAGGCCGGGCCAGGGCGCCCGCCCCGCTCGCGGGGCTTCGTGACGCCGCCCACGAGGCTCTCGGCGGGCGTCCCTGCTYGGGGGGCACGCGAGGGCATTTAGCGACCTGCCGTGCTCTATAGTGGGGAGGGAGCAGCTCCCGTTGGCAGGAAGTGCGGGGCAGCCAGCGACCGAACCTGCCCTCCGTGTCSCCGCACTTGCCGAGATGGACAAAGTGCTGCGGGCGGGTGAGGCCGCGGCCCCTCTGCGCGGGGAGCGTGGGGTGCTGCCAGGGCGCTCCCTGCGCCGTGCCGCTCGCAGCCTGGGTAGCCCTGCGTCCCTGCCTCCTGCGCGGGTCAGTCCCGTGTAAACACTGGGCGTCAAGGGCTCCKCTGTGTGGTGGGAAATTAAAATGCAAGGCTTCTTACCAGATGGAAATGTGTGAAAAGGAGCTGTCTCTGTAGGTAAACATTGCACGATACGGCGTGCGTGTTCTCGCGGCAGCGTGTGTGCAGGCTCGCTCTCCGCAGCGTTTCTCTGTGAGCGTCCTTCGTGCCTCTGGAGAGCCCTGCTGAGGTCGGCAGGGCTACGCGCACGTCGCCACGTTGAGCAGCTACGTGTGCTTGTCAGGGCCTGCGAAAYACGGGCAAGTCGGCGTTGTGCCCTTTGAGCAGTGGTGACCGCCTTCGTTGMGGCTTTACACGTCTGCCGGGGGGCTGCGCGTGTCCCCAGAGCCTTGCAGGAGAGGCAGAGCACAGAGGTGTTAGTGCTGGCAGCCCCTGGCATTTGAAGAGCCCCTCTTCGTCCTCTCCTGCCCCTGTCCTTGGCATCTGTGATGTGGTGCTTCGTGGCTGTCTTGAGTTGCAGCCCCATGGGGGCTGTCCTGGCACAGYCGGTCCCCTCGGGTGTTTGCTGTCCCCTTCCCTGTGGGAGGAAGCCCAGTACGGCGCAGTGTCCGTGCTGTGTAGTCTTAAACTGCTTTCCGACAGCCTTGCACTGCTGTGGCTGCCTCGCCTGCTGCCCTTTCAGTGGGAAAAGTGGGAAAAGCCCGGGGAAATGGCAGGGCTTGCCCGTGCTCACCCTCTAACGCACACCCTTATCTTCTGTGAGCTCTCCAAGGCGTCCGAGGTCAGTGACTGCGGGGAGGACTTGCCGCTTTCCAGCCGCTCGGATGAGGAGCCACTGCCGCCTGCGGTGAGTCGCTGAGAGCTCCCTGTGCCCGCGGCGCGGGCCGGGTGTCCCGTGCGCGGGCAGCCGCTCGGCGCGTGGCCGTGTCCTGTGGAGCGCTCCTGCGCTCGGCCGCGTGTGCAGCAGCAGCAGCAGCAGCAGCAGCAGCAGCAGCTCTCGGGGCAGGCTCTGCCTCACCGCGCGGCTCCACTGCGCTGCCCGGAGCGGCGGGGGCCTCCGTGCTGCCCGGGCACCGCCGCGCACCGCCCCAGCGCACCCGCTGCCCGTGCTCAGGAGCCTTGTGCCGCCCGTGCAGGCAGGAGCGGCCCAGGTGCGGGGGGAGGCAGCAGAGGAGGCTGCAGCAAAGGGCAGATACCATCTGCGCGGGAGATATTATCCCAGGAAAAGTAGGTCATTTGTAGCTGGGACTGCGCTCGGGTAATTGCGAAAGGAATAATGAGCAGTGTAAGAAGTGCCTTTAAGGGAGAGGGCAGCGTGTCCTCAGCRGGGCCTGCGTGGCTGGCGGTCGCACGGGGAGAACGGGCAGGGGGTAGCCCAGAACGGGAGGAGCAAGATGCCCGTGAGCATCTCCTCGTCTCTGCAGGAGAGCTGCTGCTGCCGCCTGCCCCAGGGTCCGAGGCAGCCCGGCCAAGGAATGGCCAGGGATGTCCCTGTGCGGCGGCGCGAGCGGCAGCCCGTGTGTCACGAGGGGCACCTGCGTCTAACGGGGCCCGCAGCTGCGCTTGCGCGCGCACCGGTGAGCATGGCCGTGGGCACAAGGCTCTGCCCCTGCCGCAGGCGTCTCGAGGAGCGAAGGGCTCGTGGGCACCTGCGAGGCTCTGGCTTCTAGAGAAGTTCCTCAGAGAATGGGCAGTGGCATCGCAAACGAGAGCAGGAGAGGGAGGCCGGGCCGCCAGCTGCGGCCACGTCCCGCCTGGCTGCTGGGGTGCGGGGTGGTGAACGTGCCCCCCAGCCGCGTCAGCTTTTATTTCTGAGCTCTGAGGATCTCTAGCAAAAGCCGTGCCCGTTAGGCCAGGCAGAGGTGCGGCTTGCTGAGCCCCGCTCTCATGGTGAGCGAGTTGATCCGCTGCACTGGAGGAGACCTGCGGTGACCAACTCGCCGCCTGTGCAGCAGAGAGGAGCGGTGGGGTTTGTTGGGCTGCATTTGGAGGATACGCCTGTCCTCCTGTGCCTAATAAAGAGCCTCATCAGACGTGAAGGGAAAGCAAAGCGCAGGCCTGCTGTGCTCGCCCTCTCCCCGCTGCCCTGGCGCGGGCAGCGCGCATGCCAGCGCCTTGCTGGGGCTGGCCGTGGRGAGCCTGGCAGGGCCTCGTGCCGAGGAGTGCGGGCGGCGCTGCCCTGGCAGAGGTGCTGCAGCTGCTGCTGCTTTGGGTCGCTAGGCAGAGGCGGCGCGGGCACCAGGAGCGGCTCCCGCCTCCCGGGCGGCAGAAGGGGCGGCTGGCCGCTGCCTGCCCAAATATTTCGTGTTTCATGAATAAGGCAGCGGAAATCCGTGCAGCGCGTTGCCAGGGTGGCGCTGGCTTCCTCAGCAGCACCCGTGCCCGTCTGCGGTGCACAGAGCACTCCGAAGCCCCTGTGCGTGCGGCCGCCTGTAGCGCAGCGCCCGTGGTGCGCTCAGTGGCTGGAGGTGAGGTGGAACCGAGTCCAGGGTGCTTCTGCTCATAGCTGAAGGGGCCGGTTGCATTTYGACCACAGTACACTGCTTCACCTTTGTGTGTGCGGTGCTGTTCTGGGGGGAGATTTCTGTCCTAYGTCTCTCAGAGGTTAGTGTTACTTGCATACGTGTCCACAGTGCTGAGAGCTTGCACAGGATCAATCCCCATTCCGTATTGCMAAAACAGCCCCCAGACCGACAGCTGCCTGCACCCGGAGAGCTGAGCTCAAGGAGTCTCCGCCGGGCGCCGGAGCCCGGCTCCGCGGTGCCCTCGCTGCCGCTTGCGGTGCCCGTGGCTCCRTGTGGGCGCTGGGTGCCACCGTGTCCCTGCAGCAGCTGCTCCTTGGCGGCCTCACAGCCAGCGAGCTCCGCGCTCTTTGCTTCCGCCTGCAGGCGCGTGAGCCGGGAGAAGAGGACAAAGACCAGAGCAAAGCCAGTGTGGAGCGGGAGCCGAGCCAAGCAGAGGAAGCTGCCAAGAGGTATGGTGCCCAGAGCAACCGAGCGGGCACGCGGCTCGCGCTGCAGACCTCCTTGCTCTCCCTGCTCTGCTCTGACCGATGTTGCCTGAGCAGCAGGCCCCTGCACAACACYCTGAGCTCCTGCACCTTCTCACACAGTCTTTTCTCTTCAGTCTCTCACTTTTCTCCTTCCAGTCCCCTTACAACTGTGCTAGCAGTGGCTTAGCAGCCTCCCTGTGGATAAGGGTCAGTATTACCCTGCTCTGCGGGCAACTAACCCRAGAGCGCAGCAGCCCTCTCCCCAAGAACAAGGCAGGCTCCTAGCTGCTGTGGGGTTCAGGCTGTTAAAGGGAAGCGTTGTCCTCCTGCCTGGGGGCATTGTTGACACGGACGCGAGTGCAGTGCTGCACAGGGAGGCCCGGGCGCTCTCGAGCCCTGTCCCGAGAGCTGCCGCGTGTGGCACTKACCGAGGGGCGGTGCCGACGCTCCTAGTCTGCGTACCGAGCTGCACAGTACTCCCGGGCACCGGGAGCGCAGGAGCGCTGCCTGTGCCAGGAAAGCTGGTGAGCAGAGGAAGCTGCAGTAGATCTGAGGGACTTGCTGCGTGCGCCTGGGATTGGCAGCCTCGTGCTGAGAAGCTGCTCCCGTGAAGGGGCCTGCAAGCGCTCTGCCCCCGGGGTCCCGACAGCGCCCTGCTCCCGCCGGAGCTGCCCTCCGCGTGTGGACGGGATGGCGCCTCGCTCGGCCGACGGCTCTCGTTGGCAGCCGGGGCCCCTGCTCGCGCCRTGCGCCTCGCTCTGCAGCAGGCTGGCTGCAAGGTAACCCGCGCTAACCTCACCTTGTGCTCCCTTTGTTCCTGCTGCCAAGCGAGAGGGATGCGAGAGAAGCGTCGCAGGACAAGTGCTCTGCTCTGGAGTCAGCCGAGCAGGAGGAGGCTGAGGAGCCGCAGGAGCGGTCGCTGCGTAGCCCGGTCGATCCGGAGGAGCTGGCTGCCCCGCAGGAAGCGTAAGGGCTCCCTTTAACCGCCCGGTGCTGTAAGCATAACAGATTTGGTGCTGTGTTTCTGCCCTTCTTTGCATGCCCGGGTGTGACGTGGGCGCRCCGGGCGCTGCGGTGCGGCGAACGTCGCGATTCGGTTCCTGATGCGCGAGTTGGGCGGCTGGTTCGCTGGCAGGAGCCTCTGTCACTGCCTGGGCACGGCGAGGAGAGCGGCTCGGCCCCGGCCTGCGCGCGCGAGGCTCCGGGACCGGGCGGGTGCCGTTCGGGGGCTCCTTGGAAAGGCCCCTTCCTACCCGCGCCGCTGGCAAGGCCCCGCGGTCGCGTCCCTTCCTGAACGCCCTCGCACGGATCCCGCGTTCGCTTGCTGCGCAGTGCCGAGGCGAGAGGGAGGAGTTCCCGGGTCTGCTCTGTTAGAGTGGCTGGGCACCTTGCTAGCTTTGAGATAATGAGGTGAGAGCTCGTGAGCTGGTGGAACTCGGGTTCCCTGCAGAAACTCGTGGTTTATCCCGGTGCTCACTTGACAGGCTTTGCTGATGCGTACCTGCAATTCTACTGCAATAGAAGACCTCGGTAGAAACGATTGTGCTGACTTTGGTTTTTGTGTCAGGTGACAGATCAGTAGATGACGTTGGTAAAAATAGGCAGCGCATCTCTCCAGATAAAGCGATGSAAAAGCAATCTTTGCTGTGGAGAGCAGCACAGTAGTTCCCTTTTTCTGCAAGGAATTGGGTAAATGCTGTGTTGACTGGCTGCTATTTTAAACCAAAAGAAAGAGGCACAAGGAAGAAGGMGATGAGAGGATGGCAGGGTCCAAATAGCTTTGCAGAGCAGCCTGGTAATTGGCTCCTTCAGGAGGTGCCTCTGCAGTGGGCCCGGAATGGGCGGCGCGGCGGGGGAGCGCTGGCGACGTGCGGCTTCCCTGGAGCCCGAGTCCTCTCGTCTCTGCTGCTGCTCGTGGCTACCTGAGGACCTGGCTTTCCCCTTTGACTCCAGGCCACGCTGCTGTGGCTCTTTTCTCCCATTTCCTGGCAGGGCTGAAGTCCCTCTGCCTTACCCTGGGCGTCTCGGAGCGTGCTGAGACGTCGCTGCTTCAGGTTGCACCGGCAATGAACAAAAATGTCCTTTTGCTCTTAGGCCAGTGTTCGCTTTGCCCTCCTTCCCCCTCAGTCTCTTTCAGGCCTCATAACTTTGCTGCTTTGTGTCTGCAAAAGCTTAAGTAGAGGCAGATTGGTTTTGAATGTCTGGAGAGCTTAGGGCTTTCTCTTGCCCTGGGTTTTCTCTTGCTAAATCCCAGCACGCTTTCCCAGATCCCAATCCCAGACTGCTGCTGCAGAGACATACCTGGCCCGTGAGAGGCGTGTCGCAGCACCTGGGTGGGAAGTGGGTTTGCACGTGCTGCTGGCCACAGGATCTTGCTGTTTCCCTCTTGTTGCCCAAGTCTCTCTCATCCTTTTGCCAACAGGAGTCTCTTTTCTTAGCAGGCAACCCAAGGAGGAAATCAAGCAGGAGAAGACCTTGACCCAGCCTCATGAAGAATCTCTAGAGGGAATAACTAAGGAGCTGGAGGAAGAGCTGGAGCAAGAGAAAATGCGCTTATTACAAGCAAAGAAGGAGAAAATTCAGCAATTCCAGGAGGAGATGAGGCAGCAGGAGGAGGAGGAAGCTCAGAAGCTTCATCAGCAGAAAGAAAAATGCCTCAGGTACTTTCCTTTTTTACTCCCTCTCCGCGCTCCCTCTCCTCCTGAGCCTTTCCCAGCTGTGCCTCGTGGCTGGTGGCCTCGGGCGGGTGCTGTGTGTAGGGCACCCCTGCCGAGCCCTGCCGGGGGGCTTGGTGCTGCTGTGCAGAGCTGTGGCGGAGGCAGCGCTCTTGGGGCTTTGGGGGCTGCCGGTGCGGCCCCCGAGCAACGCTGCGCTCGGGGGGCYGCACGCCCTGAAGCAGAGCGGGCTGGCGCCGGCAGCGGCTGCGTGCGGAGGGGCTGCACCCCAGCGGCGCTCTCCCGGCCGTGCGGACGAGAGCGCCGTCCTCGTGTCCCGYGGGAAGGGCTGCGTGCGCCTTCGAGCGTCCACGGGAACGTGTCTCTCGCCGTAGGGCGGGACGAGCCTCCCGTTCCGTGCCTGCTGCTTTGCCACCTGGCAGCCTTTCAAATCCCCGCCTAAGTGGCAGCGAGAGTACTGGAACTGCGATGTTAGAAGAGATGAGATTGCCCCAGAGGAGCTGTAGGAGTCTCTGGTACTGTATATTTTGCAGAGGGACTTCCAGACAAGGCTTTTAGGAATAGAGCAAGGCTTTGCACGTGCAAAACCCAGGGCATGTGCAGGGACCCGACCAAAGCGGAGCAGGCGGCAGAGCAGCCGGGGAGCTGGCGCCCTGCGTTTGTGGGGTTTGCTCCCAAGGCTTGCGTTTCTTGTGGGTGGCCCGAAAGCAGCCCACCGAGGCAGCCAGAAACAGCACCTTGGCATGAAGTGTGCTGGCAGTGCTGCGCTGGGTGCGAAGGAAGACACTGGAAGTGCACTCCCAAGGAGGAAAGTCTGAGCGGCAATAAAGTAGTAAGGAGAAGGGGCCTGCCGTGAAAATACGGAGCTTGCCGATGTGCTAATGCACCCAGCTACCTTGTCTGGGAGCCTGTTCACTTATCAGATTCTGACTGGAATAAAGCCATCTGCGTTGGTGTGTTGCATTTTAAAAATGTGCCRCACAAGTTTGGTCCTCAGAGGTTGCATCTCCACCACCAGCAGCCGCCTTCTGGAAGCATGGAAGAGAATTAATGATGTGGAGCCCTGGGAMTGCATCACCCGCGCAGGCACAGCTCGTGGGCGCAGCAGCCCATCTATGGGCCTAGGGGAGGTGGCTTTGAAGATATTAAAGTCTCCTGAACTTTTATTTTTCTCCCTGTTTCTTATCTCACAGGACTCTGAAGGAGGATTTGGCAAAGGCTTCCAAAGAGGAAGAGTTGCGCGTGAGACAGGAAGAAGCGGAGAGACTTTCCAAGCTGCGAGTCCAAATCACCTCCGAGACTGAGGCGGAGAAGGAGAGGATGAGGTGACAGCCTTCCCTCGAGCTGGCAGGAGCCGCCGTGCCCCCGGGAACGGGGCTGTGCCGCCGGGGGAGGGAGGTGCTCGCGCGGCCCCGGGAGGAGCTAGCCACGGTGCGTGCGTTCCCGCTGCTGATCCCTGCCTCTGGCAGCAGCTAGGATGGAGTACCCGGGCCCCGGAGGTGCCCGCAGCCCTGTGCTCATGGGGGCCAAGGCTGATGAGCCTTACCAGTCTGCCGGCGGGCCCGCAGCCCGGGGAGAGCAGCGAAGGGAAGGCCAGGGCCGTGGCCCGCAGGYCTCTGCGGTGCCGCTTGGGCCTACCGAAACAGCGGAGGGAGGCAGAAAGAGCAGGCCCTGGGAAACGTGGTGCTTGCTTTTCCCCTAGCTGGCASGTGTGTGCACGGGCGCCTCTATCCCCCCTGTAGTTGCTTAGCTGCTGCTTTCCAAGGCCTCCAGYGCCGCGCTGGTGAGCCCGAGCAGGCCTGGCCTGCCCGCTCCTTCCCATGGCATCTCGTAGCCTCTGCTCCGCGCTCGAGGGATGAAGTGCAACCCAGCGCGCAAGAACCGCGCTCTGATGTCTTCYCTCTCTGCACTCCTGTGGCGAACCCGCCAGGGCAGAGCAAGAGGCGGCACTGCAGAAGCTGAGGCAAGAGTGGGAATCGCTGCAGGTGGCAGAGAAGGAGAACCTGGAGGGCATGAAGCGACGCGGGTTGGAGAAATTGCAGCTGGAAATGGAGGATGCTCGGCAGAGTGAGATCGCCGGGTTGGAGCGGGAGAAGGAGCGATTCCTGAGCGAGCTCAAGGAGAGCTTAGAAAGGGAAAAAAAGAAGGTGAGACTGATACCTACCAGAGAGGGGCTGGCTTACGCGTGGCTTACGTTGCAGGGTGCAACTGTTGGGATTAAAGAACAGCCATATGTGCGTTCATAGTAACCAAGTTATAACATTAAGAGAAGATGTTTGCCATGCTAATAGAGGGGTGATTGGGTGGAGAGGAGTAACCCCACATTTTTGTGACAATGGTGACTAATTAACAATTATTTACACGGCCACATTGCATCTGAAGAAATGAGAAAGATCACCGTGTGCCCTTGCCCAAGTAAATCACACCGGTTTAGCGGGTCGCAATAGCTCTGTCATTGCTGCTTTACTTCTCCAGAGGCTGGTGCATCCTTGAAGGGAGGCGGCTGGTTGTCCTCCCTGAATAGCCTGATGCCCAGGCCCAGCCACATGTCTTGAGTGGAGGCAGAGGGAGAGAGAAGGCACCGTATCTATAATTCAGTGTAGACAGCAGGTGACCGTGGAGGCTTTAGAAGCCTAGGGAGAGATGTTAATGGCAGCTGCGCCTTGTGCACTGTGTCTGGAGGGGAGCAAAAGAACAGAGGGTTTGCATTTTCCTGTAGGCCGCAGAGGCGCTGGAGAAGCAGTTGGCCACGGAGCTGCGGGAGCTGAAACACGCAGCAGCGGAGAAGCATCGCAAGGTGCGCGCTGGTGCCTCGGGAATAGGAATGGGTTTTCTCCGCGCTGCCACCAGCTGTGCCTGGGGAGGGGGGCATTATTTTTTCCCGCTTCCTCAATATGGTTCTGGTCTGGGTCGGCATTTGGACATGCTCCAAGTAGGGAGAGGTGAGACTGTGCGCGTTGATCTTTGCCGCGGYGCCTGCTCTCTGTGGGAGAGCACTGAATGGATCTCGTCAGAAGGGTGACGTGTCTCTGTGGGTGGCTTTCTTGGCAGGTCATTTCCAGCCTGCAAACGCAGATAGCAGAGGCACAGAGGAATGAAGAGGCTCAGCTGCGTGAAGAATTGCAGAGGGCAGAGCAGAAAATCCAGCAGAAAGCGTTCCAAGTAACAGAATACGAACGTGAGGCAAGTATTCGTCCTCGGCGGCTGAAGAGTCTTGGCGCTCTCCCCTTCTCAGAGGCTTGGGGAGGTCCGAGATGGCCAGTTCCCTGCCCGCAGGTAGCCGTGGTGCAGCAGGGCACGGGAGGCTCCTAGGGCAGCGCCCCTCGCTAGGGCGCTTGCGTTCCCGCACCCAGGCCGCTGCCCGATGCCGCGATCGGCCGCAGGATGTTCTGCGCTTCAGCCTTGCTGGCTGTGCGAGAAGCGCTTTTCCGGGGGGAGAGCCGCTGTCGTGCGGTTTCTGTGAAGCCTCTGTCTGTGTGCTCCCTGCAGCTCAGTGAACTTCTGAGAGAGAAGCGGCAGGCGGTGGAAAAAGASCACGAGAGGAAAATGGAGAGAATGAAGGAGGAGCACCAGGAGGCCCTGGCAAGGCTGCGGGATCAGTATGAGGAGGAGGTACTGCAGAGGGGCCCGGCGACCTGGGATACCCTTGGGCTGGCCCTGCTTTCCTCTGGGTGTGCACCCTGGGTGTTGGTGCTGGCGTCCCGGAGAGCCCGCTCTCCCGCTCAGCCCCTGTTCTTGTTTGGCTTTTGCAACGAGCAGGAGAGGAAGCAAAGAGCCGAGCTCTCTGAGGACGTGCGAAGTGAGCTGGTGCGCCTGCGCCACCTGCACGAGGTGGAAGTGAAGGCTCTGCAGGCAGAGCTGGAGGAGCGGCTCGCTGAGCTGCAGCACAGGCACAGGGAGAAGGTGAGGGCAGCGCGGCGCCTCGCCAGCTTGCTGCGACTCGGCTGCCTGGGCATGGCCCGGGTACCAAGACGCTGCAGTGCTCCGGCCGCCCTTATGGCCCCCTCTGATCCAAGTGGCAGGCTGTATTTTCACAGGGTTTTGCTGTTCTCCCTGGGGGCAGAGCTCTGCTGGGTGAGCAACTTGTGCAGTTCTTCTCTGTTTAACYGGCTCTGTCTCTGTGCAGGAAAGAAAGCTCCAGGATGCAGAAAGTGAGCTGGAGCTGCGAGCCAAGGCTGTCAAGGCCAAATCGGTGCAGCTCCTCAACCAGGTGAGTGAGCTGTGGTGCACAGCCCCTCCTTTCCAAGCTGCACTGGGGTAAGAAAGGCAAAAGGTGGATAGATGCTAGGGGTGGCAACCAGGGTCCTCACGAAAGTGAAATGCTGGAGAAACAGGCCTGTGCCTTGGGAACTGTTGCTGCTTGGCAGGATGGGATGTTCTTCCCACAGCGATGCGCTTATTCCCAGCTTCTCACTTGGTGACAAGGGAGGGCGATGGAGTGAGTGTATATAGAGGGGAACAAAGCAATATTGCCTTTTTGTAATGGCCTGGAAACTTGGGCTTGATGTGTGCACTTCTTCTCTGAGTGCTGTGGAGTCCCTGCAGTCTCCTCTGGTGGCATCACCACGCTCTGATGATCACCCGCTTGCTCTCCTGTGTGTAGGAGGAGGCTCTGAGGAAGAAAAGGCAGCAGCTGCTGGAGGAGGACAGACGGACCGAGCTGGAGAGAGAGGTGTGTGAGCTCTGGGGAGGCGCTGCGCTGCTTTGCTTCACCAGGCAGGGGAGCGTGCCAGGGTGATGGTCTTCCAAAGCAAGCTGTTATCTGCAAGGCCACCGACCTGTCCCTCTGAAATGCAGTTGTCTGCATGGAGCCCAGCAAAAGCCTTCTGGACGCCTGTATTTTGCAGGAACTTCTAGTGCTGCTGGCATGAGAGTCAGTGCAGCTTTGCGGCCACGCGGGAGCCGCTGATGAACTAGCTGTTCAGCAGCTAAAAGAGCGTTAGTGACTGCYGAGAGCTGTGAAGGGCCTGCGGAGCAGGCACGGGGAATGTGTGCGTGGCTGGAAGGGAAATGCCTCCAAGACTCCACTGGGGTGGCAGTTGGGCAGTTGGCTCTCCGTTCCTCCAGGGCTGGCCCGTGCTGTGCGCGCTCGCAGCTCTGGGACCTGCTGTCAGTGCTGTAGGTAGGATGAGTCTCTTGCATGGAGTGCTGGGGCAACTACAGGGGACTTCCTCTTGTGCTTCTAGGAAGCTGCTTTGGCTTCTCAGCTCCGTCTGGAGGAGAATAGRAAGGTTCACAGCAGCCTGCTCGACTCCATCTGGCAACTGCGTAAGTCTCTTGAAGAGCTCCAAGACCAGAAAGCTGAGCTGGAGGCCCAGGTGGACTTGTTGCAGACCCGCAGCCAGAGGCTGCAGAAGCGCATCAGGTGTGTGTGGGTGAAATTTCCCCGAGGGCTCAGAAGGTACCGTGCACGCCAGCGGGAGCTGCTCTTGGGCCTCTCCTGTAGCGCTGAGCTGCCGCTGTGTTGGCCCATCCTCCTTCAGAACCCTGCTCGGGCTTTTGCTGTGCATCGAGGACCGAGAGCTCCTGGGTCCTCTTTGTGGATACCTTAATAACCTGCCGTCCCACCACACACGTGGTGTGAGACTTGTGTGGACGTCCTGCACGACCAGTAGGCCCCTGTCTGGGTGGTCGTGGGCAAGCTGTGCTCTCGGTGGCTGATGTGCCCCTAGGCCTGGCTCTAGCAGTCAGGCTCTGCCCGCTGCCCTGGCATGAGGCCCCTCGTTTGTGTGTGTGTTATCCCGGCTTGTGGGGGATTGTCTGTGTGAGGGACCTGACGTGCAGCCCCGCCACAGGCTATTGAGAATCCTTGCCGTCGAGGTGCTTCTGTGTTCCCGCTTGTCTTGCGCATTTGTGGCCCTTCCTCCCTCCTGCAAAGGAGAGGTCCCTTTGGAGCCTGCTGCAGATAGATGTGCAGGCTCACCGAGTGCAGCTGTGGTCCCTTTCTTGTGTGGCAGTGACCTTGAGGCGGCGATCAGGAGCAAACAGGAGATTCTGAAGGGACTAGAGGCAGAACACTCYGTAGAATCTGCCCGAGAGAAAGCTGAGCTCCGTGTTGAAGACCTSGGAGAATCTATTCAAGCTGTGAGTAAAGCCCACTGGCAAGGCGTTTGCCTGTGACTTCCGAGATTGCAACTCCCTCAAAAGTTCCGGTTTGTTTCCTCTGCTGCAAGTGATGTGGCATGCAGCGACGCWCTTCTCTGCCCTGGAAGTCACTGATGTCTGTGGTACTCTTTGGCACTGTCTGTCTGGGTCTCCTGGAGGAGAAGGGCTGTGGGAAGCTGGGGTGCCCTTGGCGTCAGGAGTATTTTCTTATGCGTGCTTCTTGTTCTTTGAAACTGTTCAACTCTTCAGCAGTCATCGAGAACGGCCGCTTCCCCACCCTCTCAAGGCCACGAGGACAACGACTTCCAGTTCGATCAGTGAGTAGTCGTGCACGGGACACTCTGGGACAGTGTCTTGCTTGGGTTTTACGCGCGTGGGAAGCACCGGCAATCCGCTTTTGGGAGGCTGCTGCATGGAGCTTGCAGGATAACGCACACTGCACAGGTACAGAAAGCCAAGGGACTATCTGTGTGTCTCCGGTAGCGTCAGGAGCTACATCTCTGCGGAAGGGATCTCCATCAGGAATGCCAAGGAGTTCCTGGTGCGCCAGACCCGCTCCATGAGGAAGAGGCACACGGCGCTGAAAGCCGCCAAGCAGCAGTGGCGCCAGGACGTGCAGAAGGCGCAGGAGGTGGTGCAGGATCCTGACAGCTCGCAGCTCCTGGAGGGCGTGCGCAGGAACCTGGAAGATGTGAGTGACRGAGCTCGGCCCCTGTTGAGAGAGCAGGCGTCACGGCAGCACCGGGGAATCCGGAGCCCGGGCTCGACCCCCGGCTCTGCGGCTGCGGTGACGGGCGCCTGTGGAGGTTCCCTCCTCGGGATACAGCAGCTGCACAGGGCACATCTCCCGTTCCTTCGCTGGTGACGGGGAGCCCTCCTTTTTTTGGGGAAGCAAAGCTGTTGACCCTGTCAGATGCAGGGTTCAGAAGGGGAGCCGCCTTTTCCCCAGCGTCGACTCACTTGAGGCCTGGGCTCTCCCCTCTGTGCTCTGCTGCCCGTGAGCTCCCAGGCCTGAGCGTTTGTGCTCCAGCGGCATGGGGAGCGGCGGGAGCTGAAAGTCACCGCGACCACTAGATTATTTCCTGTCATTGGCGTTTAATTTTCATCCTTGGCTTGGCTGTTTCTCCGCTGCAGGAAGCGAAGCGTTTGGACAAGATGAAGTCGGCTATGCGGAAAGGACAGGTGCTGCTAAAGAAGAAGGAAGAAAAGCTCAGCCAGCTGGAGTCGTCGCTGCTGGAGGAGGTAGGTAACCAGCGGCATTACAGTCGTTTGGACCTACCCGGCTGTGTTCCTGTGGTGCGCAGAGCTCCTGGTCTCCTCCCCTAGGCTGGGGTGTTTGTAGGGCTTTAGGCCCTTGTGAGGGCTGCTGAGCTGGTGGTGGTGCCTGTGGAGCTGGATTATTAGAAACTGATTCTCTGAGCGAGGAGCGGTGCGTCGCTCTCCGCAGGAGAGGCCGGAGAGAGCAGGCTAGTCACAGAGCTGGAAAGAACGGCAAACCTAATTAGACTCGAACCCGCTCGATTCAATAGCTCCGCCACCAGCAGAGCAAACGTGGGCTGGGGTTTAGGATGGAGGGAGAAGTGTCTTCCACGGTGGCAGCTTGCCAGGCAGGGATGGAGCTGGTTGGAGGAAACACGCTGAGGGAACTGGCTTGCGGGAAGCTTGTTTGTTAGGTTGGAGACAAATCTGTGTTACCCCTCGTGCCGGAGCGTCCAAGGATACGAAACACAGCCTCACATGTGAAGCAGTAGGTGTTTGTTAAAAGCCCGTAACTTGGGCAAAATTGCAAGTGTTGTGCCTTCCCTCTGCTGAGGAGATTTGGACCGCCTTTTAAGGGCAGGACTGCCGAATGGGTAGAGAAAGCAGCCTGAAAACTGCGCATCGTTCGTGCCTAGGGAAAGCGAGGGCAAGTGACCTTGTGGAGATCGGGTCTAATCTTGTGCTCAAGGTCATCGCTGGAATCTCGCCAGCTCTGCCTGCAACCACGTGGCTGTAGACGGGGTGGCAGCAGATGTGAGTGAGTGCGCAAGACCTTTGATGGTTCAGCGCTTGACCTTGATGCAGAGAGAGAGTGCAGCCCGTGCAGGAATTATGGGGGTTATTCCAGGCACAAACCCCTTGGACTTCTGCCCAGGAGCTCCTCCGCCTGCAGGTGTTGGGTWGGGCCTCGGGTGCCCGCACCTGCCGCTTGCCCTTGCCAAGCAGGCCCTTTGCTTGCAGGTACTGCTGGCGGGAGCCCTGCTGCCCGGCCCAGGCCTGACTGCCGCCCAAGCTGCGCGGCGTAGCCACAGGCAGCAGTATTGCCGTGGCTTTTTGTCTTCCAGGGAACAGCACACGGCGAGGTTTCATTTGCACGGTTTTCTGTGTCTTGTCCAGCTTTCAGATGAAGACACGCTGAAGAGCGCTGCCTGCAAAAAGATGGTGACTTTTGATCTCAGCAACTCTGAGGACACAACCAGCATGTCYAGTGCAGATGTGCATCAGCACAAGGGTAAGGCCTGGCTGCTTCAGTGGGCTGGTCCAGTGTTGAATGCTTCAGGCCTGGCTCTGCCTTTCCTCTCACCTACGTGGTGTTCCTTTTCTTCTCCTTACTTGTGCTCATTAGCTTCTAAAGCAGGGAGGCAGGTCTGCTGCCTGTCACTGGGGCTGCTCGGCGTATAGTGCTGTATTTGAAAGAGTCTTTCCCTGCCAGTGATGCCGAAGGAGAGGGGTGCAGTCTGTGCGTGAGCTCCCCTTTGAAACCTCTGCCGTGGTTATTAGCGCGGCTTACAAAGGCGCTTGTGCCTCGAGCTGCAGCCCTTCCCTCTCTGCCGCTGCCGAGCTGTGCTGCTGGCGCGCAGGCTGCTTCCTCCCCGCTGTCTGTGGAAGGAGAGGTGGTGGCAGTTCCCTCTGCCTGCGGCTCCTGCCTCTCTCTCTGCCCTCAGCAAAGCCTGTAATTGGGGCTGCGCAGGTGACGACGTGCAGGGCGCTCCATAAGCGGGCCGGAGGGAGGGTTGCGTTGCTTACMGGAAGGCTGGCAAAGCTGGAGCTTAGCCTGAAAAGAACTTAGAGACTTTCCCTCTGGYAGCAGATTGACAGTCTGTCCAGTCTGAGATTGTCTCTCTGACCTTGATCAATAAAACATCTGCAGGCACCCAGGGAGCTTTAGGGCTTTCCCTCACCGTTAGATGTAGCCCTTGTCGGCACAGTGCCCGTGCTCCCACGTAGGACTGGGCCAGTGCCCTAGAGAGCTTAGTGCTTTTCCTGAGCACGGAGCAGCAGGCAAGCTTCCTGCCAGGGAGGCTGTGTGCCCCGACCTTCCTGGTGATCCCTTCTCTCTTTCCTCCTCCTCCTGCYAGTTAATGTGAGAACCGACCTGCAGCTGGACTCCCAGCTGGACAAGGTGCAGTACCTGACGAGCTCTCTGCAGCGCATCACGAACGAGCTCAACGGCGTCCTGGGCGTCTTGGGCGCCCTGAGCAATCGGCAGTCCCCGCTCTTCACGCCGGCGCAGGTGCCCGTGCAGGTGCCCTGCGACGGCCTCCCTCTTTCCACGTACGCCTCGCTGGGGCCGCCCGCCGGCGTGTCCGTGCTCGACCGCTGGGCCTGGGAYGCGGGGCTGAGCTCCGGGCGCGCGTTCGCCGCCGCGCCGTCCGCGCAGAGCGCTCTGGCAGAGAAATGGCACAAGTATTTCCCAGGTCAGTCTCCGGTCCCGAATCTCCCTGCTCGCTTGCGCGTGGCTTTGGGGTGCGCTGTCCTGWAGGCTCTCAGCAGCTCACCCTTGCGACGCTGCTCAGCCCAGATGTGCTGCTGCTGCGGTTGGGAAGGGTGCTAATGAGATTGAAAATGAGAAAGCCTCATTCCAGGAACTGCAGYATATGGCTGATCTTGTTACCCTGCGTCCTGAGCAGGTCAGCCTCTGTTGTGCACCCAAGAGAGCAGTTATTAAAGAAGGGCGCAAAAGAGGAGGCGGCGGCAGCCCTGCCTCGCTAGAAGCCTCCCATGAATTGCAGATAGGATTCTGCATGCTGGTTTCCTCAAAAACACCACGACGCCCTGTGCATCTGGAGTGGAAGCCTCCCCCTCTTGCAGCCTATTTATCCTTGGATAGCGAGAGGAGCAGATGAGCATCATGTTAGCTTGCTGTTGATCTCGGGGGGCTTTGAAGTCTGAGAGGCGACTCGGTTCCTTTGGTTTGAACCGGGACTTCTTGTTTGCTCCCCAGCCCTTGTCCCTGCTGGAAAAGGAGCCTTGGGCTGCTCTGACAGACTGTCCTCCCAGCCTGCTTCCCCCCTGCTCAGAAGTGCCTCGCAGATGGCTCCGCTTGCAGGGGGGAGGATCTCTAAAGCGCCGCGAACGCGGCAGCCGATGCACCCGGATTGAAGGGCTGTTGCTTATTTTCTTGGGCCTGACTCTCACGTCTGTTTTGCAGGCGGGCTGCCACCACTCAGTGGAAGTTCAGCTTTTCTGGACAGCAGGCTGGGTTACGTCCCTGCAGAGTAAGGCTCTTTTTGCTTGAGTGTCTCTGTCCATTGTGCTGATGCGTTTCCCTGAACTGCTCTCTAGGTCGGGGGTGAATGTGTTCTGACCGACCTGTGATATCAAATCAGTCMGATATTGCTCGTGAGCAGGTCGGTCAGATGTTGTTAGTTAGTGCCCCCCACTCAACGCTCCTGGCGGTTTCTGCAGCGGAGCTGCAGTGAGAGTSGTGCTGAGGACCCTGGCTCCAAGGACCTTCCCTGGTCCAAGGAYGCCAGCCAAGCAGAGCTCTTCTTGTAACAGCTCCTCTTCCTCCTCCTGYTCCTCCTCTTCCAGAGCTCTAGGATCATTCCCTCCTAGACCTCTCTTTCTCACTTGTTCTTCCTCTCTCACCCGACAGTGAGCAAATCCGCCTGTTCCAGCACTCCCAGGTCCGGGGCTCTGACTCGGATAAGATGAGTATTCAAGGCATGATCGAGACCAACAAGAAGTGGCTAGAAGACTTCAAGAGGGATTCAGAAGTGTATCCTTTGCCTGCRTGTGGTCTTTAATTGCACTCCAGCTTCCTGCAGCAGGTAGGAAGGGGCAGCAGGAGGCGAGTGAATCGGGAGTGGGAAAGCATTCAACGGCAATTGAGAAGCCGTAGCCTCTATTTTGCTGTCCGGTTGTTCAAAAGAGCACGCTGTTTGGCAGTTGAGACGAGAGCGAGCTGTTCTTTCCTCCTGTGCGCTGTACTTGACTCTGAGAAGCTCTGCTCGKGCCTTTCGCAGCTGTGCTCTGCAGCGCTGCCGCCCCGCTGCCCTCCGCGCGAGTTGGCAAAGGGAGCTGGAGAGACAGGGCCCGGCGGAGGCGGGGGCCGAGCCCGCAGCCGGTTCTGGTCCCGCGAGCCCCCAGCCTGGCGCGCGGGGCCCGGCAGCCACGTTGGCTTAGCCGGAGGCCAGGCTGCAGCGAAGGCTCCCGGGCGCTTTGCAGGGACGTGCCCAGGCCTGCGCTGTCACAGCGCTACGCTGGCGCTGTCAGCGTGGCCTCCGCRGTGTGGGCTGCCCTTAGCAGCAAATCCCCGGGCCCCGCTGGGAGCGCGAGCTGTCCTGAGCGCCGTGCGCCGCTCAGTCCCTAATCCCCCCCTTAATCCCGTTTGCTGTGGATGCCGCGGGCAAGCGGGCCACGTGTGCGCGGCTGCCCTGTCCTGCCCGCTGCCCCGGCGCCTCTCCGAGCTTTTCCTTCACTCAGCTGCCAGGCCTCTCCTGCCAGGGGCGCAGAAGGGCCCCGCCAGCAGCCCCAGCCTCCTGCAGCTGGGCCTGGATGAGAAGCAGCAGATCACAGTGTACCACTATTAAAGGTGGCGCGGGGCCTCCTCAGCCTTCYGCCGTGCTGCGGTTCCTCGGGAGGTGGTGGCCGGTGCCCGCGTGCTCTGCCTCGTGCCGTGGCGCGTCCCGGGGCCCTCCAGCCGGCTCTGTGTCGTGCCCTTGATGCACAGTCTYGTGGCGGTGGGAGAGCACAGGAAGCAGGGAGGGAACTCCCGTCGTGGGTTCTTCTAATCCTGCAAAGTGCCCAAATATGCTTTATAGACTGTTTAATGCAGCAGCGAAACATCAGGGCTGTGATAACTGAGCAGCTCCCTTGTTGGTATTTTGCGCCCGGGAGGCAGAGCTGGGACTCGCGCGGGACGTGCCGTAAGYGGTCGGGGGGAGGCCGTGAGGCAGCGGGGCCTCGGCTGGAGCGGCTCTTTGCGAGAGGTGCCCGCCGTGACGCCCAGCCAACGCTCTGTGCAGGCGCCGGGTGGCCGCCGCAGCCAGCCGTGCGGAAGCAGGGCAGCAGGAGCAGCAGTGAGCTGCAGGGCGAGGGGGCCGCTCCCACAAAAGCAGGGTGGGCGCTGGCGCGGGCAGCAGGCGAAGGGTGCGCGGGGTGCGGAGCAGCGCGAGCGGCAGCTCCCGCTCCTGCTCCTGCTCCCGGCGCGGGCACTGGCCCGGCGTTGCGGCAGCCCGGCCTGCGGGCGGGCCGGCACCTACCTGGTTACATGCAAATAGCAATACGCTTTGGATACACCCCTGGAAAATCTCAGGAAGCGTGTCTGTGTTGSCGTTTTGTACCGACCTTTTTTAGCAGCCCAGGGGGCTCGGCTGGCCGGGCTCATCGCCCTGCCTGCACCCCCCTGGCTCAGGACACCCCGGCTCGGGGCCGCGGGAATGCCCCGGGAGGACTCGGCCCTCCTGGGCACGCTCAGGGGACAYCAATCCCTGTCGACAGGGGTGGCACCCATGGCCTGTCTCCCGGGCAGGTATTTTGTGAGGAGCTATTCCAGCTTTCCGGAGCTCAGGGAGGTTGTTGCTTGGTTGGAGACTGTACCAGCCTGTGCGGTAGAGCCTAGCGTGTGCCTGAAGAAGGGCTGAATTGTATGGAGTCATGCCTGTTTTCTCAGCAATAGCGTTTTGAACTATGTTTATTTTCTTCTTAAAGGTTGTGATACCCGTTGTATCCTGTTTTGTATGCAAATTAAATCCACGTGGGTACGTTTGCGTGATGGTGATGTTGGTAGCTTTGTTTTTTCTCTCCGTGAGAGATTTGTGTTTCCTGGCTTGGTAGCCCTCGCGCTGTGTCCTCCCCCTGCTTGTCCCTAGGCTGCTGGGTGCTTCCTGTGCCCCCGGCTTGCTCCTTTTCCCTTCTTGCCTCCTCCCAGGCCGTAGCTGGAAGCCGTGGGCAGCCTGCCCAGCTGTGAGCGTCTCTGCCCCTGTGGAGGGGCTCTCTCGGTCGGAACTCGGCTCTGCTCAGCCCCAAAGGGCTGCCTCTGCGCAGAGGGGCGTTCGCAGCGCCGGCCTGCCTGGGGGCTCCCCGGCGCTGAGACGCGGGGCTGTAACACCGGGAAGGGTCCAGCAGCGCCCTGGGGGTCCCACCTCTGCCGCTGCACGCAGGCAGCTTGCCCGTGGCACCCTGCGTGCTCGTAGCGCGCTTTGCGCTGCGGGGGCAGCGGGCAAGGCCAGCGTGGCACCAGGGTGCGTGCAGCTGGTGGCAGGGTGTTGAGCACAGTTGTGCTTCCTCTGCAGAGGGGAGGGTTTCTGCCTGCTCTGAAAATACCCGTTCCTGGCCCCTTGCTAATTCTCTGCCGCTGGACGGSAGGAGAAGGACGCTCTGTCGCGTCCTGTCGCTGCGCTGTCCCCAGCCTGCCTCGTGCAGGGGGGTTGGTGCTGCCTGGCCACAGGTGACCCAGGAGCCGCTCGCTGGGGMCTGCGGCCTGCGCTCTGCCTGGCTCTGTTGAGGGCTCCCTTTCCCTGACGGTTGCTAATTAAATTTGAAAAATCAATTAGAGGCCTCATGAAGTAGAAATGACTTGCAGCGCGCCCAGGAGCCCGCCCGGTGCGGCGTGGAGCGGGCCCTGGAAGAGCCGGAGCGGGCACCCGCAGCCCTGCCCTTCGGCAGGGCACCCAGTCCCTGGGTGGTGCGAGAGGCGCTCGCGCCGTGCGGTGCGGGGGCTGCGCCGAGCCTGGGGCCGAGGGGCTCTGCCCCGGCCATCCTCTGCTCCCTCGGAGCCGGGCCCGGGCGCGTGGCGAGCACGCACGTGTGTGTGTGTGTGTGTGTGTGTGTGGCTGCGTGCGCCTGGCAGCGAGAGGATTTGCTTTTCCTGGAATGCAATCTTCTGGGCCGGAGAAACGCGGCGATTGGAAGAGCGAGAGGCCCCAGAGCGAGCAGGAGCCCTAAGCTCATTAGGGGCCTCGGCGGCTGCGGGCCCCAGCAGGGCTCGTGTCGCTCGGTGGCAGCTCGGAGCCGCTGTGCCCCGCTCCTGGCGGCGGTCTCCCGGAAGGACGGCAGCCCCTGGGACGCCGCAGCCATGCTGGCRACGCTGATGACGGCGCTGTTTTTCGTGGTCAGAGCCGTCGGACAGGTGAGGCTGCGCTACCTGYGCGCTAATGCTTTCCCGCCTGGGTCTAGATGCGCTCCGTTAGCGAGGAGGGAACAACCCCGGGTTGTTCTCGGGGCGCGGGAGCTGGGGAGCCGTGCTGGGGTGGAGCTGGCTGTTCCCGAGCGGAGGAGCGGCTCGTGCTGCCGCCCCTGCTCCTCACTGCGCTCCTGGGCCTTCGTGCAGCTCGGCAGCAACCTGTTCCGYGAGGAGCCCCTGCCCTACCTGGTGTCTCAGCCGCTGCCCTGGCAGGTGCAGTACGTGACGCAGAGCCGCCGCACCAGCCGCGACAGCGAGGTGAGCCCGCGTGTGTGCGTGCGTGTGTGTGTGCGGCCCCGTGTGCGTGCGCCCAGCGCTGCGGCCCGCCCGCGCGGGGCTGCTGGGCTCAGCTCGGAGCCCGCGCGAAATCCCAGCCTTGCCGGCGGGAGCCCTCGCTGCTCCCCAGCCTCTGCCTCGYTCCATCCCAGCGGGTCTGCGGGGGCCCTGTTTGCGGCAGGGGAGCTCTTGACCRCAGCAGGCCGTGCTCGGCAGCTGCAGGGCCGCGCAGAGCTCAAGCAGGGCAGCACGTGTGTGCTCCCCCGTCCGAGGACAGAGAAGGGGCTGTTCCCGGGAGGCAGGGCTGCCCGCGAAGCGTAGCAGYGTGTGTGCAGAGACGTTCACGTTGCTTGCTTGTCGGGATGAAAATGTTCCCTAGCAGCCGTGACGTCGCAGGTGCTGCAGAGGCAGGTGCCAGGGGCTGGAGCCTAGGAAGCAAACCTGGCAAGGCTGCTTCTGTGCTAGTTGGAAATGMGGATCCAGGCAGCCTGTACTAGGCCGGTGCAACAGCCCAAGACATTAGCAGCAAATCTCAGCAGATCCTGCTTTTGATACAAAGCTCTTTTCGCTGCTCCTCCTTGGAGGAGCTCTCACAAAAGCACGTTAATTAATCGGAGCTCTGTAGTGCCCTTTAAGGGACCAGCAGTAAGTATWTTCAAGTTTTCCAGAGGGAAGGGGTAGCAGAAAGCCCGGCAAAGCTGGCTTCGCAGCTGACCTGAAAGAGCCTCTTCCCACTGCCTCTGCCCGGCGTTCCCCCTAACTCGCTCATACTTTGCATCTCTCCCTTTSCAGAGAGGCAGGAGCTCTCGACACAACAGCGTCTACTCGCTCCCCGGAGAGACAGGTGAGTGTGGAGCGCGCAGGGAGCCAGCCTGGCGCGCGGCAGGCAGCGGGACAATCGCCGGCCGGTGGCTGCGGGAGGCAGCACAAGAGCAGGCACCGCTATAATTGCAGTTWCTGGGGGTGACGCCAAAGCACCTTGAAGTTGTCCCCCTCTCTTCCTCCCCGCTGCTGTTTGCGAGGCTCTGCCACCTCTAATGAAGTCAAGTGCTCAGCAAATAGGATTTGTCCCCTGCTATTCTCGGTGCGGCTCGGCTGCTAATCGGATGAGAGCAGGTCCCGCGCTGGGCCGCTCGCTGCGAGGAGCCCTGGGCTGGCGCTCGTGGCGCAGGGCTGGGGACCCGGCCCCTCTCTCTGGGGCAGCAGCCGGGCCCTACGGCCCCGTGGGACGCCCGGAAACACGGAGCGGCAACTGCCCCCGGTGGCTCCCCAGCCTCTGGCGTTTGATTCTGCAGCGAGCAGGATTTACAGCTGACAATGTGTCTTGTTAAGCAGGACAGGAGGCAGCTGATTCCCAACACGGACTTTTTTATGTATCTTTTTACTTTGCAATTTCTTTTAGGATGTGAATAAAAATGGGTTCAGATGACATTGGTGAGTTTATACGGCAGCATCTGGCACCAGGATTTCTGATCGCTGCTCGGGGGGTGCTTAGCAGTGACACACTCGCTTAAAAGAGCACTGCTGAGCGGCTTTGATTCAGTTCCTGTTGAATTTCACAATACTTCCCTCATGCCACATTAAGTGTGGGTTGGGGAGAGTTCCCATTTATCAGCATGAGAGCTTTATTGCTGTACAGTGCTGGTCGTAGGGTTTTTTTTTCCTTCCCCCTAATCTTATTTGTGTGTGTGAAAGTAAGTGCGTATCGTACTTGGTGATTAAACGCGGGGAAGCTGCGGTCTTTGGGGAGTAAAGCTGTGTAAATAGAGGGCTTAGTGCTGCTGGAGAGCTTGCCTGGCCTCTCCCGTGTCCGCTGTGAGCGGCTGAGATGCGCCAGGAGCTGGCGGAGCGGCGGGTCCGGGGCCAGCCCGGCTGCCCCTGCTCGCCCTGATGCTCGGTGCTCATCCTAGGTGACGAGAGCCCCGACGGCAGCGGCGAGCGCAAGTCCTCCTGCGACCCTTCCGAGCAGGCGGCCCTCACCATCCAGGCTCACTTCCGGAGGTACCAGCAGCACAAGAAGGAGAAGCAGTAGCCGTGCCGGCCAGGCCCCCCTCCGGGCGACCCCGTCCAGCGCCTCGCGGCCGCGCTCGCTGTCACCCCGCTCCCTCGGCGCAGCTCTCGGCGCGCGCG